GGGGGTTGGATCCCAACTGGAACGGTGGGCTGGGGGGGCATGGCCGCCTCTCAGAGCTCGTGCAGGCGCAGCACATGGCGTCCCTGTCCTCGTGTCCGTCTCCCAATGCACAGCCTCATGTCCGCAGGTCTCGGGTGGAGGGTGGGGTGTGGCCGGCGCTACCTCCCTGGGCATCTTGTCTGGGTCAGGACAGGACACGTAGCGGGTCTGCAGCCGCTGCAGGTCAGTGAGGAGTGTGGGCCTCAGAAGGGGCCAAATGACAGCCACAGCCAGTGCCCCGCGGCTAATGCCACTGGCTCCAGGCGCTCAGCTTGCAGTTTGCAGAGAGACAGGGGAGCCGTCCGCTGCCTTGGGCTGAGGGCACCGCTGAGCTGGGATCGGGGACCTCAGGCCTGCAGTGCCCACCTGGGTTCAGCTGGGCGTCCCTGACCCTGACCCTGACCAGAGCGCGGCAAAGGGCCCCCTCCTGGGAGGAGGAATGCAGGTCCAGGACAGTGTGTGGAGCCCATGGGGTCCACCTAAGGCTCCGCCTCCACTTGCTTTATGTGGGAAATGGGCACATTCCAACCCCCAGTCCCTGCTCCAGACTTGGGCTGGTGGGGCCTCCAGGTGCCGGCGTCACAGCCGCAGACGTGACCGGACTTGCTGTGAACGTGGTTGTCCTGGTCGTGGCGCGTGGGGAGTCTGCGGTCATTTCCATCTCACTCCGGCAGGAGGCCCTGTGCCTGCCCCGCCCTGTGGTGCCAGCAGCCATCACCATCACATGCTCCAGGAAGGGTCACCGACCCGACCTGTCCCCTCTGCAGACACAGCTGGTGAGCGTGCCACTGGGCCTGCGTTGCTGGGAGGTGGCGAGTGGAGTCCAAGGCCTGGCAGGGCCTATGGATTAGCAGGTGACGCCCCAGGACAGTCAGGCTTAACAGCCCGGATGCCCCAGTCTCTCTCCTCCTTCCTCCTCCTTCCCTCCCTCTCTCCCCATCTCCTTTCTCCAGGTGGTAAGAAGCCACTGGCCGGTGTGGTTCAGTGGTTGAGCGTCGACCTAGGAACCAGGAGGTCATGGTTGTTTCCTGGTCAGGGCACATGCCCGGATTGTGGGCTCGATCCTCAGTAGGGGGCGTGCAGGAGGCGGTGATCCATGATTCTCTCTCACCTTTGATGTTTCTATTTCTCCTCTCCCTCTCTCAAATCAACAAACATAGATTTAAGAAAAATGAATAATACTGTTATTTATTTTAAAAAAGAAGCAGCCGTCACTGGCCTGGAACCCGAACCCGCAGCTGCTGGGTG